CACTTAAGTCATTTGAGCCTAAATCCGGCACCGAGACAGATTGTCCCGAGAGCAACAAGCATGATGAGAAGTTTAGAAACTTTGAGGTCTGAGGAGAGTTTGAAGGAGCTGGGCTGGTTAGGTCCGGAAAAGAAGATTAAGGGTGGAGATGATAACAGCCTTCCAATAAATAAAAACCATGTTAGACAGAGGATGGTGATTCGTTTCTTGTCAATACTGGGGACAGGACACAAAGACACGGGCTTAATTTGCAGTAAAAAAAGATGTAGGTAGAACAGTATGAAAAGCTTTCTAAATGAGAAGGGGAGGGATGCACTGGAGCTGGTTGCTCAGGGAGGTTGTGCAATCTCCTTCAAAAAATGTTTTTAGGAACTGGTTAGAGAGCAATTTTTGCCAGGGACGGGACTTGGCCCTGCTTCAGTGCCAGGAGCAGTTCTCGAGGTCACTTCCAGACCTATGTTTCCAGGAGCCTTCCAAAAAAGCCTACCGAGGTCTCCTGTTGGAGCAAGAAAAAGACGCAAAGGAACAAAAGGAGGAAAGCCCCCTCCTCATTCTCCATTTCCGCTTATGGACCTTGCTGTGCTAATTACTTTTTACGTCCATCTTCCTATTGATGGTGTCATCCAGATCCCTAATCTAATGATAGCCTGACTACAACCTATCATTTCTCATGGGACCTTTTCTACTGTCATTAAGAGCCAGATCCCATGTTTCTATCTGAACTATGATTGCTTTAAAGGCTAGCTGTTGGCAGCCTCACAATGTATTACTGGGACAACGGAACAGAGCTGGGAGGTAGCTTTAATATGCCAGCTTCCTCCACATCTAGGAGGAAAAAAGATTATCTCTTCCACACCCGCTTGTACAGCTTTCAAGAGGCAGTAAGTGCCTGGCCATTGATAACCTATCCAGAGGCCCAGAAGACCACTCCCTGCCATTAAAACAAAAGGCTCTGCAGCTCTAAAATGTACTTGCTAATAGGGAATTAAGATCTGCTCAGACTTTTGTCGGTAATGGATACAGGATATGTCTAATCTTGGCAACCGGCGCTACAACAATCCAGCCCTTGGCACTTAACCCTTGCAAGCCGCCCCCTGTTCGACTTCACACGTAGCAGCATTTGCTGTTTCTCTTCCCCTCCTGACCGGGTAGCTAGCAGCCTCCCAAAGCTGAACTCCAACAAATACCACGCGACGACCTGCCCCTGCCTCCAGACACGGCTTCAGGTAGGGGAAGAGCAGGGGGACCCCATACTCCCACGCACAAAGGCAGGGCAAAGCCTGGGCACCACTTCCGAGCGCTGTGCGGCTCCATGGGCGCAGGGGCGGGCAGGCGAGGAGCTGGGCAGCAGGCGCGGGGTACGCCAGCCCCTGCTGCCTTTGCGGGGGCACCTCCCCAGGACACTTCTCGTGCTCTTTTGCTGCGTGTCTGGGAAGGGCCAGGCCCTACCGAGGACTGTGGCCGCCTCTCTTCAACCCCCTGCCCCGCGCACGCCCCACTCATGGCAAGTGGGTGAAATGGGACC